ACCGTGTCCCTGGTTCATAGTAGATGCTCAATGAAGGTTGGTTGTCACCTGAGTGAGCCTGCCATTTGGCTGAGAAAACAGCCATTCAATTGATGGTTAGCTTAATATAACTTAGGCAAGTGGCTGACTTAATATGGAGGTTCCCCTTTACCAAGTACCCACCATGAGTATGCTTTTCACATATTACCTAACTCTCGTACCAATCCTATAAGGTATATGTTATCATCTTCATTTCACAGGAATGAAAACCCTTGTTTGGGAAGTTAAACGCAGATGTGGTCAAACTCTTGGTAGAGTGGCAGAGCCAGGATCTGAATGCAGCCATGTCACATTGGAACCTCACAGTACTGTGGCAGGTAGGTGGGTAGAAACAGGAATTACTGTTCCACATTGGCTTTGAGTCACCTGAGGCCAGAGCAGTGCTAAGATGCTATATGCCATGTAGCTTGAGTGCAAAGCCCTTCTGATTACAGAGTCCCTATCTTCTCAGTATTTATATCCTATCTTGTATTATTTACATCACATTTTGTTTTAGAGATCTCAAGAATCAGCTGCAATCTTAAGTAAACTAAATTCTTCACTGGCAGGATATGAGCATGATAATTTATCAACTGCTTCATAATAGAGACCAGAAATTTAAATGTCACTTAGGGCATTTAGTTAAGATCTGTGCTCAGTATGGGAACAATTAGCTAATAGACTGCAAATAAATTCTCTGATTGCTCTCAGAGATGGGATAGGAACTTGTTACAAAATCGTTCTTGGATATAATGGTGATTGGGCTTGAACATCTGTAATCAAATTGGTCGTTGGGCTTGATCCTACATGGTGGGCTGAGGTTGCACGGCTGTCCTTCCTTGCTGTTCTTGAACAACCTTCCTAAATGTGCATGTTGGGCCTAAATCCCAGTGAACAGAAAACCCTTCTCCTATCAAGAGTATTAAAGTATGAGGCGTCTCTAGGGCACAGAACATCCTGTGATATTGGTTTGAAAGAACCTATTTATGTCATTAGAACTATCCTGGTTAGTGCTGATGATCCATTAGCATGAAGTCTACGTGAAGTGTAATAACGAGAGTGCTCACACTCAGAGGTGGGAGTACAAAATGGTGTAACTACTTTGGACCATTTTATCTTACAAAGTTAAAAATACACTTGCTCTTGGGCCAGCTAGTGCTCTGGTGGTTACAGCCACTGGATCCCACATGTTCGACTGCACAATTTGAGCCCCAAGCCCAGTGGCTTTGAGGTATACACTGGGTGTATGTGCGTGTGTGCCCAAAATCACAAAAAAAGAGGAAGAAATGGAAGAGAAAGGATTGCAATGTGGCTATTCACTATGGAGAAGATTGTTTTTTTGGTAAGCACAAGCACCCTCTGGCAAACTAAAAGTAAATAAATAATAACTATTTTTAAAATATACTTACCCTGTTACTCAATAGTTTTCCTCTGAGGCATTAATCCAAGAGACCTGAAACCATATTCACAAAAAGAATTGCGTAAGAATGTTCATAGCAGCTCTATTTATAATATCTCCAAACTGGAAACAACACAAATGCCCATGAATAGCTAATGGATAAATAAATTTGTAATATACTCATATAATAAAACAGTACCAAACAATAACAAAAAAAGAATAAACTATTATAAACTATTCATACAAGTGATAGATACGTAGGTTAATTGCAAAGCATTTCATTGAGAAAAAAGAAAAAGAAATACTTAATTCTAATGATTTAAAGTTCTATTACAGGGAGCCAGGGTGTGGCATGGTGGTTAAGGTGCTGGATTCCCACATGGCCGACCACAGTTTGAATCCCAGGCCTAGCAGCTTGCTTTCTCAGTTTCCCTCTCTTTGTGTGTGTCTCTCTGGTGAGCACACATGCCCTATAACAAATTAAAAATAATAGTAAGTAAAATAAAACAAATCTCTAAAAAAATTTTTTGAAAGTTCTGTAACAGTCACAATTAGGCTACAGTGATAGAAATCAACAGTAATGGCCTCTGTGATGGGGAGGCCCTGACTGGACAGAGATAAGAAAACTTCCTGCAGTGATTAAAATGTTCAATATCTTGATTGTGGCAGTCATTGTACCCATTTTGTCAAAACTTGTCAGATTGTATGCTTAAGATGGGTTTGTGGGTTAGCTGATAGCATGGTGGTTAAGGTGGCTGGATACCATGGACTGACTATGTGTCTGAGTCCTGAACCCTGTGGCTTGAAAAGCCTGCCAGGTGTGTGTTTGTGTGTGCCCAAAACCCTGAAAGGAGAAATGGAGGAGAAGGGATTATGGCATGGTCTTCTCCCATGGGGAATTCTTTCTCACTTTCTCTCTCTCTCTCTCTCTCTCTCTCTCTCTCTCTCTCTCCACTGTCCTCTGGTGAGTTCATGCATCCTTTAGCAAATTGAAAAAGAAAAGCTTGGTTTGTTGTATCATATGTAAATTATATTCCAATTTAAGACAAATTGAATCTAAGGTTGTTTCAGCTACTGGGAGATAACTGAGTTCTTTTCCATTCCTATATTCTTTTTCCCTACTTTTTATGTATATACTTCAGGTTTTAAATGATCAAGAATCATACTAGAGTTCTACAAAAAGTTTGTAAAATTCAGGACCAGCAGTTGGCATAATGGCTATGTCACTGGACTCCCATGTACTCGACCACGGTTTGAATCCCAGACCCAGTGGCTTAAAACTCATGCCAGGTGCATGTGCATGCATGCCCAAGATACTGGGAGGAGAAGGGATTGCAGCATGACCATCCCCCCCGGGGGATGATTTCTCGCTTTCTGTCTCTCTGTCTCTTCTGTCTTTCTGGTGAGGACACATGCCCTATAGCAATAATCTCTCTCCAAAAAAAAAAAAAGTTTGTAAAATTCATGGAAGAAAACTATGCATGGATTCCATTTTTACTTTTTTTTGCACCAAAAATACTTGTACTTTAATTCCCTTTTTTCACAAACTTTTTAAAGTTCCCTCCTACCATAACTCTTTAGTGGAAGTAATTGGAGTGGGGGCCTGAGCAATGGGCATGTAACAGCCCTATAAATGTTATCCATTATTATTATTAAGAATAATATGGGCGGCATCATAGCCTAATGGTTAAGTGAGCCAGATTTCACTTGGCTGACGCCAGTTCACGTCTCAGTCCAGTGGATTGACAAGCACACCAGTCGCATGTGCATGCATGTCCAAAATCCTAAAAGGAAGGAGAAATGGAGAAGGGACTGTGGTGTGATCATGTGCTTTTGGGGGGTTCTCTCTCTC